TGTAAGCAAAATTAAAATAATATAACAAACTAAGAAAATTACAATAAATAAATGATAAATATATAAATAAACAATGAGCCCATCAATGCAAAGTTAACATCTTTGTTGTGATTATTGGTTGAATAAATTTCATTTGTATCACAGGTTTAATATATGCGTGCGAAGGGAATAGTTTGCGCGTTGAATGGAAAATAATAAGCTCCCTCACGCATAAAATATCAAGACATTTTATCTGTTGGACACACCCCATTTTCGCTATTACCGTGGGATCATTTTGAAAGATGATTCTCATTGAATTTCATATAACGTAAAACTTATTTAGAAACTTATTTAGAAAAATATCTCAATCTCTTCTTCATATAAAAATTGTCCTATTTCCTTTTATTAGAATGCTAAACCACAAGAGATCATCGATAAGTAAAAATGTCAAGATAGCATATTATAAGAGCTTAGACACAATATGTCATTGCGTGCAACTATTGTTGTCAATCACGTTATAATTAAGGAAGGAAACAAAAACAAAAGATGTTAACGAGCATATTTTACAAACAATCTCTCTGCGCTTGCGTTAGAGATCCTTTGAAAATATAAATTACATATAAAAAAATAAATAATTACATTAAAGAAATTATCTTCTTCCGCAATTTTGATTTGCTTACCTTAAGTGCACAGAAAATGCAGGATTCACGCATGCACGCATGTCCGGAGAGCTCCCTGAAGCTTCTTCGAAATATGTCGAGATGCCACAAGACCTAAAAAATAAAATTAGAAAAATCTTGATTAAAACATAATTTTTTAAATCATAATTTCCCGATAAATATTTTTCAGAAAAATATAGTAAAAATTTATCATACCTATATTATCAAAAAAATTTATCATACCTATATTATATTTAAAATTTTATATTTAGCTACATAAATTTATAATCCTCATTTTTGGAATTTACATGAGTTAACATGATCGTGTGTCTGCATCTGACAATCTTAATTTTATTACACTATATATATTATATGTTTTATTATATTATCATCCACAAAATGGACTTAAATAAAAATTTCGGTATTAGTGTGAATGAATTTATCATATTTGTATTAGTGTACATCACCAAATTGAGAAAGGCAATACGTGAGTGTACACATACAAAAATGTAAATGTATCGAGACCCTATATGGAATCGATCTACAGCCATATACGAGTAACCCAAACGCGAACGCATTATTATATCAGGGGAAAGTAAATCACAATTTCCGTGCTACCATGTCCTGCATAGCGGAACATAATTTCCTCTTTTCTTGTATTATGGTGCAAAACAATATTCGATATTTTTCAGAACGTCAAATTTCCTTTTTATTATTTCTTTTTGTAGAACTTTTCACTTTAATGATTATATGATTTTCATAAATTAGATAAATTTTCATAGATTAGATTTCACACACACACATATTATAATGTTTATAATTTAATAGTTTTAGAATAATAGCATAAACATTTTTTTATATAAAAATGTTTTATATAAAATAAGATACAATATATTCTACAAGACATATTACATGTGTTTACTACTATGTAATAAGAAAAATCTAATTTCGTTGTAATTTTAATCTCGATCTAACTCGCCGACTCGCGTAAAGGAGCATGACAGTCGAGCACCATGTCTTAGCGCCGAGACATTACCGTAATCCAGATAATCAGTAATCTATATTTTATTACCGCATTGTAAAATTCATTGTAAAAAGCTAATACCGCTCTGCAGAAAATATTTTTGTCATATGGATCATATATATCCATGTGACAAAAAATAGTGAAACTGGAAAAGCAAAGAGAATCATGTTAAGAAAAGTATATAACTTTCAAAATTAAATGAATTTTGAAAATAATTCTATTTTTAATTATTTCCTATATAAAATTAAAATAAATTAAATTCCATTTCTTTTTCCCGCTCTCTCTCTCTCTCTCTCTCTCTCTC